TAAATCGTACGAAAGCGAAGTAGCGGCGGGCTAATTGCCTTCGACGATCCTTAAAAGTACGTTGTCGTTAACACATAATTGCACATTTTTCATCCATTTTCTATCCCGGAATTGCTATTCGACTGTGCACCGTCTCGACGTTTGAACGACCTTGCAAAATATACCTTTAGGTGGTGAATGAGTTAACCCCATTCACAGCTGCTATCTTTGCGTGCACACTTTAACTTGGTCGGTATCAGCTGCGCGCCAGAAGAACGGCGTGTCTCTTCCGCTGAATAACATTTAATTTACCGCGTAAATTTTATAATCGCCCGTTACACGCGTGTTCGCATAAATCCATTCCACGCCAGTCTGTTCGCTCTCTTACTCCTTTCCTCGTTCGTTCGCTGTAAAATAGTCGCACGTGTACGATGTCTGTGTGTCCTGTAGAGAGGAGGGAGAGGTTGAAGGCAACCCTTCGTAGCAGCAAACTACATTATAGGAATTTTCCACCGGGACGTGCTGGTTGGAAAATATTTCACAATCGATCGATCATCAAGGGAGGAACGAGCGTGTGTGTGTGTGTATGCGCGCGCGCAAAGGGCTACAAGAAAAGTCGAAGGGGAGCTCTGCGTTACGCTAGGTCAGTGAAAAAGCTTCAAAGAATCCCGGAGCAAGACTGTCATTACTTGGATTTCGCACGTTCAGTATTAACAACGCGATCGTTCGATACTGTTTAGCTATTTCTTGGCATTTTGTTTTTTACTCTGAAGAAGAGAAAGAACATTTTGTAAAAATTTGTTAGTAATGTGAAGGCCATTATTATTATAATATTCTGAAAAACAGAAAGTGTGATTAAAGTATGGTATATTATTATTGTGTATATGTTATTATCTATTATCATTCAACCGGCATACGTCCAATATACACATAGAATAAAAAATAATCGCACAAGATTTATGATCGTGTTATTACACCATCTTATACAGAGTATTCTGTAAGAGGTGGTATAACCGCGAAGGGGGTGGTTCCACACGAAGAAATGAACCGAAAATATTGAATAAAATTTTTTCACAAGAAGTTCAGTGTTTGAGAAAATTGAATTTAAATATTTGTCGTATACACGTGTATTTAATCTCTCGGCCTTATGCTCGTACTAATAAATGATTCCAATGTTATGATCAGGACTGATAATAATACATTTATTAACGATTTCCTTAATTTCAATTTACATTACTGAACGAATTGTTTAAAGTGACGTCTTTATTAACGCATACTAATCCTTGCTCTTTGAATCAGGCAATCGTGGTCTGATAATACTACGAAAGCCTGTACAATCTTTTAGCTGCAGGAGATACATATATACATCATCTGCTTAGACTATTTCCTTACGAAATGTGATCATATCGCTGTTTGTATCAAAACTAAGCGTTTTAAAAAAAATTTTACTCTGCTATATTTTCGGTTCATTTTTTCATGTAGAATCACTCAATTCACGGTTAGGTGTCATTAATTACAGAACACCCTGTATATTAAGCACAATTTTTTCTGAATCGAAATAAAAGTCCTCGCAAATGTTTCTAGTCGATTTGAAAAAGGTGGAAAAAGAAAAAGATCGAACGACAAGCCGTGCTGAGGTTAATAAACGCCCTTAAACGCGATTCCGAGACGCTCGGAGGTCGGGAATAAAAACGGTTTCCGGTTGAAGAGGAGCGAGACAGTACGCGGTATACCTCGACGAACAATAACTGTCTATGTATTTATTTCTTGCCTTTCGTTTCGCATCTCCGCAATCGCATAAAGCGGCCGCTTAAACCCGTAGGAACTTGTCGAAAGATCCGGAACTTGCTAGTATTTCCGTCCGTAGAAAGAAGGGACCGGAAGAAACGAATTTAAATATGACGTTTCTCGTGAACAACCAATTTCCAGGGTACTCCGCAATTCTCCGTGATGTTTTTACTTATCCTTTTTTCACCGTGCCGTTAGATATTAGATTTTCAGAAAAGAAATCTGCTTAGAGATTGCATTGTTTGGTTGATTCGATGAATTATTTAGTAATCCTTGGCACAGATGATGTTTCTTGTTAATAGTAGCTGATCTTTAGAGCTTATAATTTTGTTGACACGATCCAAAGCGATTCAGATGATTTTTAAATGGTAATATTGGCTCCCACACAATACGTGAAGCCTGATTATTTAGCAAATAATTTACACTTTATTACATCAATTTACACTTAACGTTAAAAATTGTACTAAAAATAAGTTCTAATTTCTAACAATAAGTTATACAAAGTCCAATGTTCAAAGTTCAATTACAAGTATCACACGTAGATACATATGCTCAAGTGCTGTTCAGTGGCTTTGAAGTAAGTATATTATGTAAGGATATCACGTATGTTGAACATTGTCACGCATGTATTCCGTATGTATCTGCAAGAGCAAGGTCCCCCGTATCTTTGTATGTAATGTCACTTATATTTCAGTAATTATCAGATTCTAACTGTTCTAAAATCCCTTTATACTTCTCCGTCCGTTAAAATGTGTGTTCTAATGAAAAATGTAACAAGGTGGAAAAACTGTCCTGTGCAATGTTCTAATGAAAAATGTAAACAAACGCGTGAGAAAATGTTTAGAATGTAATGGTGGCACGTTTGAGTATTTGTGGTAGATGTTAAAAAGAAAGTTAAATTATTCAGAATGAATAAAAAAAAAAATCGTAGGGTTTCATTTAAAAAACAAGTGCAATTGCACTTTGTATCTGCATCGATGCACTTCTGTAACAAATCGCACAACGTGATGATAGAGCTTGTTAAACAATGCAAAATTTTCCTCTACAATTTTTTTCTATCTTCAATAGTGTTGGGGACTTGAGCAGTACTGCTTACCGTGCCGTCCCAGGATTATTGCACCCTTCTGTCCCGTCTATATGCTCTCCTCGAAGAACCACCTAAATCTACAGTTTTGAGAAACTAACAGCACGATTTGTGCCTATTGTACTTTATTTAGATGTAAACCAATTACACAGGCCTCGAATCTAGCCTGACTGCTATTATGTTCTGACAGTGGCTGTCACTGTGGAAATATTGAACTCTGTTCTGATCTATGTACTCTTATTCTGACTCTGTTCTGTTAAACTCTCAACTAGGACTGTTACTGTTGAGCACTGACTATGTTCTGACTGACTATTACTCTGTTCTGTCGAAGGAAGCGACGCTCCTTCCAAGTCGCCCTTTCCTTCTTCTAACTGCACGCTGATTGGATATTTTGGAAATTCCAAAAATCCAAAGCTTCAGTGACATCGCAACACCCTTCAGTTGCGCCCTCAACACGCATTACCTTGGAAAGGGGGTGGCGATGTCTGGCAACAACGGGGAACTTCTGCTAGGTTCGACTTCGTCGATATCTTGACCGTTCCAACTGTTTTGTGTCTACCCTTTGGAAGGCCCTTTGTTATGGCAAGGCACTTGGCTATTGAGGACGAGAGAAGTGACTTTCTAAAGTCTAGGGCTGTAAACCAAACTTTTTCTCGCCAGGATAATTTTTCTACTCGAGATGTATGCTAATAATAACTCAAAAGCAGCCTCTTCCTCGTGTCCGTGTCATAATCCAACAAATAGGAACAGATTTATAATCCAGCCCGTTTACTAGACTCACCCTGTATATGTAATACTTACTCAAAAATTAAAAAAGATATTCTATGCATCCATTGTGTAGTTTTAGAATAAATTGTTTGTTTGCACTTCGTGCGTTTCCTACTTTTTCTCATTATATGTACCTAGGCTCCTACTTTTTAAAATAAAGTGTGACGCGAATCTAATTTTTATTTTTTTTATAATAGTATACCTCGTCTCTCACACGCTAACTTAATTTTGTGTCAGTTGAATGATTGGTACGAATAAACAATATAAATGTGAACTTGGGTGTGAACTGCTCTAGTCGACCGATCTAGACTATGTGTATTTTAACCTTTTGAAATATTTTACGGACATTACGACACGTTGGATTTTCTTACTACTTATACTAAACTGTGTAGTGTGGGGGTGTCTTATGATGACGAATGGAAGCTCTTCTTCGTCTTGGGCTGTCCTCCATGAGCCCTGGATTTCGCCAATCGACAGGGTGGTGGTATGCCGTCATGGCGGGGGTGTGAGGCCCAAGAGATGGCCAGTCTTAACGGGACTGAAATTTGTGTGCGTGTCTGCGCGTGTGTAGTGGCTTTACGACACGTCAATTGCCATTGAAGGAAATGTACTGGCACCAAGAGGGCGTATGGCACGCAGAAGCCTCGAGTTTCTGCGTCCATAAAACACTTTCTGGCCCTCGACATCGTTTTGAAAAGAAAAGTAAACACATGAGAATTTAAATTAGAAGGCCTGGTCATCCGTGTCATAAAGTCAAACTCTTAACGATTGCGTTTGCGACGCAACATAAAGTAATTTTTGGAAATCCTTTTATTATTAATTTTTCGAAAAAAGAAGTTGGAAAAGGTAATAATTGTAACAGTGAAAAATTACAGGCGCTTAAAATGACGGATATTAAAATAATGTTGAATTTCAATAATTGTGCACGTATTTTTTTTTTGCAAATGTCCACCGACCCAAAGGTGTAGAATCACACTGTGGTGGTCTTTACCTTTGGTCTAACCTTTTTATACACCCTGTACAATTGACTAAATCAAACTTCCAAAACACTTGCTAACCACGCTCCACTGTCTCATCTCTCGCCTTCGCTTTATGAAACACACTGTAACGTCAAATCCTTCGAGGCAATTGTCTCGAAAGCTCTTCTTTGCTTTCGCGCGTCTACTCGCGTTTCCAAAGGAACTTCTGCCCCTTGTGAGAATTCGTAAGAACGTACAAAGGCCGAGAAGAAAAAGAAAAGCAGGCCAAGGAGGACAGAAAGAGAACAGTTGAAAAGAAAATTCCTAGACACGTGAAGAAAGATCGTAGAGGGTATGGCGAAGCAACAGCTTCCACCATCGTGAAAGGAGCAACGTTTCTCGAGATGAACTTGTTTACGTACCAGGTATCGATTTACCAAGATCGAGATACTCTCGCACAGACGGGCTGAGGAATCCAGGAGGCACAGCCGGTGCCTCATTCGTCGGATTGTTCCTTTCGTCCACGTCCTCGTAGTAGTAGTCCTCGTTGTCGCGACTGCTTTCCGCGTCCGGGTCCACGGGTTTCGCCCTCTTCGATACTTTGCCACCCCCTGTGTCCCGCACACCTTCTGAAACGCGAGAAACGCCGTTTGAAGAATTGATTGATTGATTTATTCATTCATTTTACAGGACAAACATATTAAGGTGCAGAATCGAGTAGAAAAAAAGATCGAAAATTTTATCCATCAACTACGTTATTTATACACTTATTCTTTAATTGGTAGATAAAATTAATGTAAAGGTGATTTTACATTAACAGGTTCGCTACCACGGTTCTATTTTAGTATCGACCCATGTCCTTCGCATTATGTTTGCTTACGTTCTTAATATCTATATTTTTATCAGTTTTACAGAATACGACGTATGTATGTCTGCATAATACTTAGGTACACCTAATATGTATGTATTAACCATTTGAATGCCATCGCAATGCGATCATGCGATACATTTTTGGAATCTGTCTATTCTTTTTATAAAATATTGAACAAAAACCCTGTACGTAATCAATTTTGCCTTTGTTTTGTGTTATTTCCAAACAGTTGTATTCAGTGAAAATGTCTAAAACAAAATTTTTAACTTTTTTCGACATCAAATAAAAGAAGTGCGATCGCGCCGCTTCGCATTTTTCGCTCAGATTTCTGCAATAATCCGTGGCACTCAAACGGTTAAATATGCAAACTGTGCATTTTGTATGATGTATTACATGTAGATAATACCGATCTATCGTAAGAATTGACGCGTCACACGTGTGTAACGTTGGTAGTGAACGTATTAATTCGCAAAGTGATTTTCTTCTTTCCTGAAATATTCACTTTTTGGAGTTTCGCAACTTTACCATTAGAACGACCATATGCAATATCAACGAAACTTCGTGATTGATGTTAGAAATTATAAGATTCAAACAATGTTTTTCTTTTGGCCTTCTTGCTTCTGGCATAAGATACCCATGAATTGTTAGAAATGGCACAGGATAATGTAAGGTTATATTAAAAGATTTCTAGTCACCACATGTTTTCAGATATTAAAAATTCTTCGCCCATGAATCCCATGACAGGAGATTAAAAGGGTTGAGGACAAATCGAGTAAAATTTTGAAGTTCTCAGCATCATTCGAGTAGTTTGAATCTGTTCAAGCAGGTTCGAATACACGAACTGCTCGTAGTGTTACTCGAATAATCGAATGCTTTCAACTCAGAAAAACGTAATTCGAGGTATTCGATCATCTCAAACATCTCTGCCTCTGCGTTTCTCTTTCTCCCGATTGATTAATTCAATTCTATCGGCATGTTAGCGAGATGAATCGATCGGCCGCGATTACAGACGGACTCGCGCGCGCACCCTGTGTACACAGTAACCCTAACGATTTCGTAATTTTGAATATTTCACGGATCGGGTGGGGGGGCAATCACCGACCTGTCCGACAGAGGAAATGTTTAACGACAATGGTATACACAAAGCTGAAATTAATTAGCTGCAGACTTTCCTAGCCCCAGCGTGCTCCACCTCTCCGATAAAGTAGCTTGACCGGCCTCGAAATCACTCGCGTGTGCACGAATCTGTCGTGAATAACGCAATAGCTACGTACGGGCCTGTGGTTCGCGTAATCGCAGCGACGTGGCAGCAGAACTTTGCCCCTCACTCGTTTGTCCCCTTCAAGGCATCTCTCTCTCTCTCCCCCCTCTCTTTCATTTCTACTCTTGTCTCGCTTGTCCGAGGGAAACTTTGCACTGGCATCCCCTGAATCGCCGCCAACTTTGCCCGGTATCTCTCTCTCGCTCCTATTTGAACGGAGACTGGGTCAAGTCTAGAGGGCCTGCGGCTTCTACCAGCCGAAATATATACAGAGGCAACGAGAGGTCAGGAACGCTGCCATTTCCAGCTTCGTTGTGTTTTCGGTTGGAAGTTACGCTACGACGACGAATGTCTCTATTGGGTTTTTGTGAAGCTTAGATGGATGGTTATGAGCTCTTTGCATTGTTGTACAGGTAAAACAGAATGAGCCTCATGTCACAGATTATGGTCATGATACAACAAAACCAAATTAATGTTAATATTATAAGACTGAATACCTGTGAACAGCAGTTTACATACATGGACTTCGATGGTCACAACAATTATTTTTGTTGCTTAAGAATATGAGATGTTTCTATTGTGTTCATAGGTTTTTATCAAGGCATTTTTGGGCTCATTGACTTGAAAGGCTTAAATAACGAACAGGTAACGCTTATATACATAGCCAGTGAAAAAATGATGAAGTAAAAGGTTAAGTGGAACCATATTCGACAAGGTTCTCGTGAAGGTTTTTATAATATAAAGAACTACATTAAAAACTCAAGTTTCAGTTTGTTATTTGAAGCTACATATTACAATGACATATGAAAAGTATTTTAGTAATATTTCTTCATTAATAAATTCGGCAACAGAATTCGGTTTCGAAAACAGGGTGTTCTTATTTTGTAACTCTTATAGGACTTAATTTATATTATTTATGATTTAGAGTTATGTCAGCACAGCTTAAGTAAATTTAACACAGGATAGGGTATTAACCAAAACTGTATTAAAGTATAGTGATAAGCGACTGCTAAGTGCTTCGGTGTCCGTCTCGCTCGCCGGCTATTTCCAGAGTGTCCTCTCCGCGTCGTATCCCGCGTTGCTCCGAAAAACCGTTGGAGCCCCCTCGTTCGACTTTCCGGGGAAAGGGCTTAGTTTACAGTACCCTCAGGTACCCGCGCGCTTTCTCTTCCTGGGTGACAAACTCCAGGCCATCATTTCGCCGCCGAAATCTCGCATTTCTTACAGTTAACTATAGTCATGATGATATAAAGAGTAAAGAGTAGAAAAAGTTACTGTTGGGAAAATGGGTTTTAAATAAACTGCTTCAGCTTTTAATACTTGGATATTTTATTCCTCTACGCATCGGAAGTGACTTCCTTCTGTTATTGATGTCTTGAGAGGACTGACTCTACCGGGCACGCAGAGCCGGTGACCGATGACCTCATCTAACAGGGGTGCGTTATCACCTTACTCACATAAACAGTGTGAGAAACGGTATCTCCGTTTATCAAGAGAATAAGAGATTAGTTTTTGTTTGGTTTACGAGTAAAACTAACAGTTACATTTTTAAAATATGCTTTAAAAAATAAATTACCACTACTGCATATATAAACATGTGACACACAGAGTTGTCTAATCAAGAGAAGGATGCACTCAAAACTAGTATAGGGTAAATCGGGGAGTGCTGGACCCTATGTACGAGATGGACCACCGACATAAGTTTTTGAAATACCCATTAGATTTCACGACCATTACTATACTTCCCGCCAGAAGTTTATCTAATCGCGTTGCATTTACATAAAATACAAGTTTTTCATCCTTTTAATTTAACTTGGATGTAAAACTTTCTTACTTACAATTTCGTCTTTATGATATGTAAAAACGGACACATATTTTATTAAATTTTACTGCATAGTATCGAATTTGAAGCGTTTTTAACGTGTGTATCTGTTTTTTTTTTGTGCGTTTTCGTTCAACTATCGCACAGTGTATAGGATAGTTGGACCATCGTTATAATTTTTTATATCCTTATTTTTAAAAAATGTATTATAATTTCCGTGTTATTGAACGCTATTACTGTAAGCTCATATACTGCATATACTACATTATAAACAAAACCTTCTGCTTTTCATTCAATTAATTATAGACGAAATTTGACTTTTAAAAGAAAGTGGTCTATCACTCCCCGATGTATCAATGATATATAAAAATAAAATTCAACTATGCACATTTACCAATAACACCAATGAAGTTTTACAAAGCACAAAAGTAATTAATCTAAATCTATCAATTGTACCAACCTTTCAAAACGATTCTCCAAAAATTTATTGCCTAAAAGTTTCTCAATGCACTAGAAAAAAAGAACTAAAAAACGTACGATATCAAAATGCAGCAACAGTGAGAACCAAGCGGGTGTTTGTAAGTCTCGCACACGGTCGATGTTGTCCATACACGAATTAATCCGTTGCATTTAGACGCATAAAGTTCGGCTGGTCGATGAGCCGTTAATTAGCTTCCGCGTCACGGACGCACCAGCATCAAATGGGATGAACGCGGGATCGTATCCACCTTTCCTCGCAAAGTAACACGTACACGACAATGTACGCAAACAATACACTATAGTGAGAATGTCGTGCGCGCGCGCTCTCTCGAAATCTAGACTCTAGGCGCGTGTACGTTTGGCCACCTGTCACCAGAATCTGAAATATTTCGGAAATTGTTTCGAAGCGGATAGCGATGTTGACTCTGCGCTGGTAATTTATACATACGTTCCCTTGTGTTATTCGCACAAACATCGCGAGTTTTCGGTATTTCAACATCGTTCCGTTATGTTTTTTTTAAACCGTCGATAATTGTTTCTGATTTTTTTTTTCTTTCACTATGACAAAGCTTTACTATGAAATTTTTCGTGAAATTATACCTGGAGAAATTTTTTTTTATATATTATACATGTATTAATTTACGTCGCGTCAACTACACTTACATGATTATTAACGACGAGTATTATAAAGGTAAGTGGTCCGTGAAGTAATAGCAAACTATTGAAAAGTGTTGGATTAAGAATTTTCATATTTGTGGCGTTTTGCGGCAGTTGTTTAAATTTTCTTTTAAAAAGGGACCCGAGGCATGATTCCTTTCTAAAATATCTAAATTTCGTTAATTTAGTATTTGGTGTTATTTTGGGAGTTTAGAGAAACATAAAAAAAGAAATTATGTGACAATAAGTATATTTTTTATAAAAGTGTAAATGGGGTGAAGCTGACGCTTTGTTACATGCAGATACTTATTCTTTGCGAAGTCTGACATATTGTATAATGTATTGTAATGATTCTTTTGAAAGGTCATACTTATACGAAGAAATTTGAATCGCTAAAAATGCCTAGCTTCATGTTTTACTCTTAAAACCTGTTACCTCATGATGGAATAAACTAAGACTCCGTGATGCCAAATCGTGCCGAAAATAGAACAACTTTCTGAGTCAATAGCTGATATTAACCATAGTTATGATCCAAGTTACATCATAGATACTTGGTCTTTGTCATTCAATGAGTTTCGCAGTCAAAATTTTTCGTTGTTACATAACTCAGAATCTTGTTGAGGCTCTATTGTAGAGACCTTGTACCGCTGATGTCTCGATTACGTCACGATATAGATAGAAGCCTTGTTGTATTCGTGTATCATCTACAATATATTTAGATATTAATCTTCTTATAAGACATTGATGAAGTTTGTTTAATTTGATGATTATCGAAAGATTAATCGATGGACGTCAAATTAAAATTTGAAGAAAAATGGGAGAAGTATTTGTAAAAAGAAAAAAGGCTTTAGTTAAAATGTAAATTTAGTAAAAGTCAAAAAGGGAGAAAACGTGTCCAAATATTTACAAGATTATGTAACTTTATTGTAACTAGGTATTCTATAATTTCTTCTACGCATGGCGTTATTAAAAATTTAAATAACAGGCATTATAATATTAGCTCACGGGGATAAAAAATTGACACTTTTAATCACGCAAAATCTCAACGAAATATCCCAATTCTCCATTTAACTCCGAAATACTTCTAAAAACACATTTCACAATTGAAGACTTTGTTGAGAAAGGAGGCAGCTTAATAATTTGCTAAAATTGAGTTATAGGAACATTGAATAGAAAAGAAGAATATGAATAAATCGATGCAAGAACCAGGCAGATTCGATAAACTCAAGTCCTAAGTCTAAGGGTGCATTCCAAGTTTTCTGAAATTGTGTGAATTGATCTTTCCTAATGTATTCCAGGTAGTAATACATAGTTTTGTAATATAATTATTCACCAGGGATAAATATATTTTTATACTATTTGATGCATAACGGAGGCAGTTCCAAATTTTGAAAATTCACCCTGCATATAAAGTGCTGTTAATATGTTCATACTCTGTTAACATGTTAATTTTAAGTGGATAAAATATTTTCAACATACGTCTAAACAATGTTTTGTTAACACTGTTTCTATTATATGCTCCTTCCCTGCTGCAAAGTCTTCAATTCTTTCACATCTGTACCAGTTCCACCCTTGGTAAAATGTTTCTTAACCACCCAAATACTCAACGTAACACATTAACACGTTCAACTCGGGGTTCTGCCATTATTCTTAATTTCTAAGAATATAAATACACAAAATTTTAATAAAGTGTAGATGATACAAATGGAAATTTAATGATAATGTTTGGAAAAAATAAAATGAATTTAAAAGGAAAGATATAGTTCAATTTTTTCTATTCGTTAAAATATATTTTTATTGTACCTAAAAAAAAAACATCTTTATAGTGACTAGCTAGAAATAAAAAAAATCGGTAAAATATTAAACAATTATAAAACGTGTGATGTCTATAAAATAGCGGAAAATTACTGTCACAAAACAGCTCTACAAAACGCCCACCAGAAGAATTACGACATAATTACACGTCGATCGATCAGCAGACACATGAAAATAGGCCCCGGGATAAACGTGTTAAATAATTCCACAAAGTTTCTCATCCTTGACCAAACTATCGTGACCAAGATTAGACTTAAACCCTCCAACTCTCGAAACGAAACAGTTTCACACAGAGCTGGATGACCAACGAACGACAACGCCGTACTGGGCTTCAACTTGGCCCCTCAATTATTTCCTTTTTCGCCACTGTTTGCTCAATGCCGGTCGGGAATTGATAGGCCAGTGAAAACATTTCATCTCGCCGCGTTCCCATTGGCATTCGCGTGCCACTCTCACCACGTATTCCGAAAGTAAGCCGGGCAAACGGTCGCGCATTTCTTTGTTAATTAACGACCGTTTAATTACCCAGCCTAAAATTGGGTGGCTGCCACTGGAAGGTGGGGAGGACACTGGATGACTGGTATATTTCGCCAATTTTTCCTTGTCCCTCCGCTCCACTCGAATATCATGATAATTAGGCCAGCACGGGAAAAATACAATCAATGAATTCGTAAATCGTCGATCTCGTTAATTAACCGATCCAATGTTAAAACACTTCCAGCCTCGAGTCATGGGGAACGATTTCGAAAACAGAAGGATATTCTTTACTCTGTTCAATTTTTATATTTCGTTTGATATTTTGTTTCTTTTATCTCTCTCTCTCTCTCTCTCTCTCTCTCTCTCTCTCTTTCTCTACCCCCCTCCTTCTCCCTCTCCTCTCTCTCTCTCTCTCTCTCTCTCTCTCTCTCTCTCTCTCTCTCTCTCTCTCTTTCTCTACCCCCCTCCTTCTCCCTCACCCCACCCTCATCCTTTTTTTTTCAAATTCAGAGGCTGATGTCCTGGGGCGACTCGTCGATCGATCCCGCGGAATTCGTTTGTTATTACACGCAACCGCGTTAATTTAGTTCCGGCCGGGCTAGCGCGATACTTTCGCCCGGGAAACGCAGCGAAACATTGATAATTATTTGGTATTCGCTTGGCTGCCGAATAATTACAGCTGTTTGTTCATGGCATTTAATACAGCAAGTATTATTTGATTTCGCGTCCTTACTTACTCGCGCGTGTTTTATGAAATTTGCTCGGCCAAGCGCGACGATACTGCATCCGCCTGATAGAGAACGCTGCGACTCTGACCAACCGGCCGCGTGCGTAAAAAGCTCTTCGTTCCCGGTTAACCAATGGACGAAAAAATGTGAGTTTTTATGTTTGCGACGTTCGTTTCGAGAGGGTTGATCGTCCGGAGAAGTGAGTTGATCTGTCGCTATAAAATGCTCGTGTGATCTTCAGGATTGAAAGAGTGAATACGTAATACACGTTATATTCAGCGTTTTTGGTGTTTTTTTTTTTAAGGAACAGGTGTAATTTCAAAAAAGATCACGAAGATCTCGAGTTTTAGTGATTAGAAAAAGTATTTTCTGATGCTTGTTCAGTGCGCTTCTTTGTTTAGAAAATTGGCTAAACGATGTAAATTTTTTGAAAGTTCGAAAGACAAGGGATTTATAAATACATATGTTATTCTTACGTAATTATTATTTGATTTTTATGGTACTTTTAGACAAAAACGTTCAATTTTTACTATACATACATTATCGCTCTTAAGTATTTGCCCACGTACTTTTTCTCTTTATTTAAAAGTCTGATAAATTTTTCAAAACATATTTTTTTAAATAAGGCTTACGGAACAAGTTAAATCTTGGACTTCTTCCTTGAAAACTGGTTAAATGAAGTCACTTATAAAAATAAAAAATATTGTCGGCAAACAGTGTAAACAGTAGGTAGTACATATATGTATACAAAATCAGAATGAAATTAAACGAATGAGTTTGTACTTAAATAGTTGTCGAGGTTTAAAATGTTGATATCATTTTAAGAAAGGAATATTTTCCGTTATCAACGAGAATCGTTTTACATTGCAATGATTTTAATTTGACACTTCATTCTGAATTTCCACGAAATACGTACCTCGAACTACTAAAATTACACCTGTCCCCCGATTTACACGGATGATCGGTTCCTCAGAATACCGTGTAAATCGAAATCATGGCTTTTTGTGTGAAAAATCGTGTAAATCGGGGAAAAAACAAAATGCGCATAATTTAGTCAGTGATTTAATTAAATTCATTATTTTAAATGTAAAATAAAAATAAAATAAAAATGAAAAACAAAAAATATTCAGGGTCAGGGTTTAGTTTCGAGCGAGCGATCGATGAAGGCGAAAATAGCCGGTCGCCAATGAAAGATACGCGGCGGCGGCAAACTTTACGTTACAATGTGAATGCTTTTTGTGTGCAAAAAAGGGGGAAATTCCGTTCATTTTTTGGTTTAATGCCAGTGTCAACAAATGAACGGTACTAAAAAATGCATAACCTTATGCATAAACTTATTTTTAACAGTTTATATTTCTGAAAAGCCGTTATTTTGAAAACCGTGTAAATAAAGTACCGTGTAAATCGGGGGATAGGTGTACTTACCAACTTTGTCTGACCACACACCATCCGTTTCTCCTTATTTTACTGCGTTTTGCTCCGTACCCGTATTTTACTCGCGGAATTCACAATATATTGTTAACATTCTCGCAAACATATTTGTTAAAGTTAGAAAATGTATTTTCATTTTTTGGCCAATTACATTTCATTCAATTTAATTTCACAGCAATCAAAAGAGGAGAATATTGAAAGAATTAAACTGAAACTGAAAAAAAAAAGTAAAATGTTCGAATCTATTGGACCTTAGGTGAAACCTTTTACTTGATTTTACAAATTCATTTAAAATTCTGGTAAATCAAGCCATAAATAACTAGACACTCCCAACTTCTCCAAAGAACAAGATTTTTTCCAACAAAACTCGTTCATTTCTCAACATCTTTTACATCTACACGACAAACCGTTGCATATTACAACCACCATCTATTTCTATAATTCCACGTGTTAAATTCTTTTACCAAACCTCTACTCCGAAACTCTTTAAAGCCATCTACTAGTATACAGGGTTTCCCCGTAAATTTATTCTGTTGTACTGTAAATTATTTTTTCATATAGATGCACCTTTTTTTTCTATATACATTGCACGTGCACCTGTCTAACATTTGCTCAACAGCCCTGTTGAAAAGGCAGGAAACGAGATCGAAAGCCGCGTCCTTGTTCGTTTTCTCGAGAACCACTATTTTCTTCGATGTTTCTCGGATTAAAACTCTTATTGTATAACGGAGAAAGAGAGTGGTGCACGCGTGTGCACACGGGGCGAAGCTTAGTCTAAAATTCGAAGCTGACTCCGCTAAAAGACGTCTCTGCGGGGGAAACGGAGCCTCGAAAAGGTCGAGGAGCGTTCGTGAAGAAATTCCTCGAGCGTACGAGCAAGTTCGTTCCGTCTGGAGAACGACGAGACGAAGCAAGAAAGAGAAAGATTCGCATAGTGGAAGTGAGGTGGGAAACGTGGAAAATCGAGGGAAATAATGACGGCTTGTGAAATGAAGGAGAATGGACGAGCGACAATAATCCAGCGAAAAGTTTGAAAAAGGAGAACCGAATTTTGCGGAAAAAGCAGCCGGGAGCGAATGAAACATGAGATACAGCTTTCTCTAACTCTTTCCTCTCTTTCCTTTTCCCCTCCGCTTGTCGGTCTTTCTGCGCCGTTGAAATATTAGCTTCTTATTTTTCCAGGGACGGACCGGTTGCAGCAGCGGATAGCGCTCGAAATTTCCTTCGAATAATTTTTCGACCCTCCGCTCATCGTGAGCTGCGATTACCTTCTTCTCTTTCGAAATTTTCACGGAATACTGGAGAAGTTTTTTCATGTTATCAGACATGGAATTTGAGTTGCTTGTTGTATTTGTTTTACGTTCTATTCATCCAATCATTTGAATTGATATTATTTTATTGGAGATCGATTTGACTGCAGTTTGACTCCTTTTTTGTTATTAATGTTAATTGGACTTTATGTTCATGAAAAATATGTGCACAGAAAGATTATATATAGTGTCAAGAATTGAATTTATATGGATATTTTTCTATAATTGAATATCTTAACGTGACTTTTTAATTTCGTTTTGACGATCTAGTGAAACTTGTAATTTTCCTGTGAGATGGAACGTGCCAATTTTCGTAAAAGAGAAACTGTTACATTATACAGTGCGGTACGATGTAATATCATTTTTAAATATTGGTACATTACTCTTTATCACTAATCGAAATTATTAATTTATTCTGCCTGCTTCCTCGGAATTATAATTATTCGTTTTCTTTTTACCTCAGTTGTGTATACTTTGTTATTTAATTAAGAAATTTCAATCGTTGTACACAAAGCTTTAAAAAGAAAGAGATTAACCGGAGAAACAGCGGAATCGAGGGAGGAAAGGGTGGTAACGAGAGAATCTTTTCACCCTGGGTAGTCCCTTTAGTGGCAAAGAACGATCCTGACTCCTTTGTGTTCTTCGCTTGGTCGACCTCTTACAGAAAGAGCCATTTAACAGCGCATCTCTTTGTCTTCGTCTCGCTTCACTAGCGATGGACTCGACAGGCCACTTGGAATTTAGGTGTTTCTCAACACTCTCGGAATCTCTAACTTCTTGATATACTATTCTTAACCTTACATTCATGTAACGTTCATGTTAATTTCACGTATGTATTGGTGAAAGTTGACTGCCTCATTTGAAAACATTTTGTATTTGTAGCTTCAAGCAGAGAAATCGTTTCTGGTGTTGATAACATGGTATTATTTATAAGCAAATTGCGAATTGTCTTATTCTTGCGTAAGGCTCTTCAATTTCTTCATTTTGAAAAAAGAAAAAACAATCCCCTTGAAAGACTTTCTTCGCGTGCACTGCTCTCCCACCAACGACCCAAACTACTTGCAGGCTTCATCCGGGATCGACGGACTATCAGCAGCAGCGGCCTCTCCCCAACCCACCCCCTTACGCACGATCCACGCGTTAAGCGCGTTCGTACGGTCCATACGTGCTCACAGATCGCGAGTTTTCTCATCAAAGGCAAACTAATTACGCGGCTATCCAGACCACCTCCTCCCTTCTCTCTGCTCGATCGTAGTTACGATTCCTACCGTTCACGATGAAATTTCAGACCGTACCGCACGCGCTACCGCTGCTAACGGCGCGGGGGCGGGGGGGTTGAAGAGAAACAGCAGCAGCAGTGAGTGGGTGGGGGTGGGGTCGGTTAACGGAGGAGCTCTGTTGGAGGTGGAAGGATGTGCAACGGATGGAAATGCAGACGGAACGAACGGACGTTGCTTCGGGGCTAAATAGTGGTGCGCCGGCGAGGATGAGCAAAGATAGGGGGGAAGGGTGGCTTGGTTGACGGGCCAGAGGGAGGGGAGAGGGTGCCGAGAGCTTCGTTAAATAATTAATCGATCCGTACCGCCTGACTGTCGAGGATTCCTTCCTATTCTACGCCGGTTCGCACAAACGTTGCGTTTTCTGAGCTTTTCCGCCGCCGCTGCCGCGTTGGATGAATCGCTGGTTCAAAGGTGGAATCAAAAGGCAGGATGGAAAGAGGTAGAAATCTGACGGAGGATGAGAACACGACGATGGTTTGTTCTTTCGCGAAGGAAAACGGCAGTTGAATATTTGGATTGGAACGGCGAGGAATGGAAGAGTTTAGAGTTTGTCGTGGTACGGGATCCCCGTTGGAGGATGGTGTTGTTTAGTGGGATAATTGGGTTGTTCCTTTGAGGTTTCCTTATAATTGTAGTTGTTCATTGTTTGCTGGTATTTCTGTATCTCGGAACCAGACTA